ACAGATGAAATTATTGTCTGGTCACTTATCTTTCAACTTCTTTTCAATTTTTGTGGGTTAACCAATTACATTTTTAATTATTCCCACAAAACAAAATTACCCCCCAAAAAGTGATTTTTCCGAAGTCCGATTGCAGCCATTTTCCAAGTGGCAACCGTGAAATTTCTCAGGCCATTACGACCATTTTCAACCGTAGTTTTTAGCCATTCTGCTCTCATATGAAAGCGCAAAGACCTAGGGAGTTGATCCTGGCAAGGATTTACACAATCTCACCATTCATTTTCGGGGCCAAGCAATCTCCTTTTTCAAAAGATACTGGGGGGCACTTTTAATGCTAATGAGCTGGCCACAAATTCTCACTTTAATAAGTTTTATACCCCTTGGCTGCTGACTCGACTATATACTAGACTGCTGTGGTCTTCGATTGTAGCGCCCTCTTAAATTTAAGAGGGCGCTACAATCGAAGACCACTGTATGTTTTTGCAGTGTAACGATCGTGCGTGGAGTACTTGCATGACATTCCTTACAAAGTTCGGAGTTAAAGTTTCCCTTTTGAGAAGCCGGTTTTCTAAGCCCTAAAATGTCTGGTGCTCTGTTTGGGAGCGCTGCTGCTGGGAGCCGCTCAAGTGGCAAGAATTTAGTGGAGTTTCGTGCTGGAAAAATGCAGTTGAAAGGCACAACAGTGACTCCGGACAAGCGAAAGGGGCTCTTGTACGTGCACCAATCCGACGACTCGTTGATGCATTTCTGTTGGAAGGACCGAGGTTCAGGCGTCGTTGAGGATGTAAGAAAACAAAAGTAAAACGGAAGAGAGTAGACATAAAGGCCGAGTTCGGGCGGCCTTTTCTTGATATGGGTTTCTTGTTCTCGCGTTCAAAGGGCGGGAACACGACTCAAGAACACTGTTCTCGGAACAGGATCACACACCACCTCCTCGTTAGAGTTTTACTGGAACACTCGGAAAAACTCACGAGATTTTGATTTTTGAACAGCTGCAAAAAGTAGAGAGATGGTTTCCAAAGCCATAGACCATGTAGACAATGGGAAGTTTTGCAAAATTAACATTAATTATTTTCCGTAACACAGAAATGAATGTTCCTGCTTATATCGAAAAGAATTCAGCCCATCCAAACATTAACTCTCGAATAACGTAGCCTACATGGACGCTGCCATGTTGCATGTTGCTTGTCACTAACTACCAGCAATAACCGGTTGTTTGTTCCCGGCATTCGTGAACATACGGTAACAAGCCGCCCGAACTCGGCCTAACTATAGTTGTACTTTACTGCAAGAAATGAATTTCATAGGGATGCGGTTCAACAAATAACCATTGACTGAGTGTGAGACTGGTCTGAAAAATCCTAAAATAAATGTCACTGCAGTGCTACTGTCATGACTAGCTCTACTGAGTAGAGCGTTAGTATTCCTCTTTGTATGATTTTGGACGGGATTGTCATACTAACGCTCCACGCTTGTACATAGAGTAAGGTGAAAACGGTTCTCAAAAATTCCAAAGACTCACCAAACATACCTTTTTCACCACTTACTGGCTTTCTTAAATGCCAAAGGAAAACTTTTGGGGCTTTAAGTGATACATGTATTTCCGACTTCAAAATCTGTCAAAATCTGACCGTTTATGCTCAACACACGCACAGCACTTAAACCGTCCTTAAACTCCAGTGTACCCACTTCAGCATTCACTGGTGGGAATTGGTAATTGCAGTTATGGTGGTATTAGGTTTGCTCACGTACAGGTATGGAAAGGAAAGAGGAATTTGCCATTCAAATCAGAAATGTTCTTGTTGGCTGAGTTTGAAGTCACAATCTTTTTACGTGTATCAATTCCAACTGTATGATGTTATGACAAGCCGGCCGAGCGGACCATTTGCAATAAGCATACACTGTCTGCACACGCATACTGGCATCTATTTCCCGAGCACTGCAGCATCAGGTGTACAGATCTGTGTATTCAAAGCTACCAAATGTTGTGCTGCTCAGAAAACAGTTGTTGGCAAGCAGGTGTAGACATCGCATGCTTATTATTAATGGTCCACTCGGCAGGCTTGTTGTGACTTCATCTTCAGGTATATTAACCCTAACCTTCCCCAACCACACAGAAGTAAACAGTAGTAAAGTGTTTCATTCTGTGGGAATAGGTCTGGTGGGCCCATAACAGCTGGCTTATGCATTGGGTTTGGCATACCTCAGAAAAACAAAGTCCAACAGCCTCTGTGCACAAAGTCCCACATGGGTGTTTAACTTTGTGTGAATGGGGAAGGTTAGGGCCAGCAACCCTTGGGGGTTAGGGCCAGCAACCCTTGGGGGTTAGGGCCAGCAACCCTTGGGGAAGGTTCGGGCCAGCAACCCTTGGGGAAGGTTCGGGCCAGCAACCCTTGGGGAAGGTTAGGGCCAGCAACCCTTGGGGAAGGTTCGGGCCAGCAACCCTTGGGGAAGGTTCGGGCCAGCAACCCTTGGGGGTTAGGGCCAGCAACCCTCGGGGGTTAGGGCCAGCAACCCTTGGGGAGGGTTAGGGCCAGCAACCCTCGGGGGTTAGGGCCAGCAACCCTTGGGGGTTAGGGCCAGCAACCCTTGGGGAAGGTTAGGGCCAGCAACCCTTGGGGGTTAGGGCTAGCAACCCTTGGGGGTTA